CGGGGTCCTTCAAAGGACCCAGCCCCTGAATTTGGACCCAGCCTAAATTTAAGGCTATAGCCCCGGGGTCTCCAACCAGTAGCTCTTGAGCTCATTTAAAGTAGCTCTTCAGTGCTTATGAAAAATTAGGAGAAGCAAAATTTAATTTGTCACTGGCCAAACAAACTTTCATTTAACTCCAATCAATTTATAGATGTCCCTTCCCATTGGTTGTCAACAGTTTAGGGCTCAGTATGGTCGATTGGCAGACGATGCACAGTTACGTGGCTGTTCAGCATTTGTTTTCACACACACCTTTCATAGATCCTTGAGACACTACAGGGTGGTTCTTCCCTCTGGGAAAAAATGCAGAAAAAATATCAGAGATCCATTACCCAATGTTATTTGTGCACAAATCTGTTGCAGTTAAACCCTGAGTTATTAGTGTAAAATACAATATAATATGAATGGGTAATCACAAAAAGCACAATTAGGTAAATTCAGTGTTCTGTGTAATGTGAATTGAAGACAAAGTTTTTTTGTGCAAAACAATCTTATTCCAATGGTTTAAGTTTAAAATTAAATGTTGCAAAAAGTAGCTCTCGGACAATTACGTTTTGTGAAAGTAGCTCTTAAGGAGAAAAATTTTGGAGACCCCTGCTCTAGCCTGTGCAGTGGTTTATGTGATATTTTGCTAACAGATAGAAATTACTCCTAATACTTTATAGTAAAGTTTAGAGTCAAGTCTGTTGGCACTTGGAGTATAGGTTGGTAATCAGTCTCAGCTACTACCAAACCCAGTTCTAAGTGTCTACATATGTCTAAGTTAGCCATTTGGTGTTTGCGAAGGTCAATTAGCTGTATCGGCCATCTTGAATTGATTTAGCTCCAATGGTTCATGATGAGCTGTTTTGTTGACAGATGCACAGAAACATTTGTTATCATGACAGTTAACAGGTTTTAGAAAAAAGTGATCCAGGTTCCATAAAAAGCAGGGCGCTCACCKGGAAAGCTGTTGACTGAATCATCATCAGTCATTCGTGTCCTCCTGATAAGCCCGTCCAATCGCYCACTCCCAAACCTGAAAACAACCTCCATCACACTCGATGCCATCATTACTCACCGTGTTCAAACAATGCAAATGCCTTTAATCAAATTGTCTTTACATTTACATCTGCGTCCTGTAAGGTTTAGACATTTGCATGAAAACAAACGTTTAAAATGGCATATCAAGACATCTGGCGCCAGCTTTCAGTTCCAGACCAAAGTAGGCAGTTTGTAAACACATAAACTGTGTTTGAGCTATCTGTCATTTTGAAACTGTCACGCAGCTGTTAGCAGTAGAAGAGGTGGCGTTTTGAAATGAAAGTGTTTTGTTTGGATCAAAGGAAAAGTTTAAATCGGCTGATTTATCTCTGGTCCTGCAAAGTGCTGTAAATAATCTAAACTTTCAGTTTAGGAATAATAATTGATCTGAATTGACTGATAAAACCTGGTTCCGTTAGATGTGTTTGCAGTGGTGTTTGTTTTTTGTCTTTGCTGCTCATACATTTACACTGCTGCATGTTTGGCCTCACTCCATCTTTTTATTACAGTTTCTACATTTCACAAAACATTTGGGACTGTGAAGTTTTTAACATGTTAGTTTTTTYCCCCCTAACAATTAAAAACGTTTCTGGCTTTGAGGAGACGATCACGTGCCTCGGGTGTCGTTTTGTTTCGTCCTTCCTGCAAACATCTGAAGTTGTACAACAACGCAGGGTTGTTGGATTTTGTCATTTGACTAGAGAGTGATGTTACCTTAGTTTTTCTMATGAGATTCTTGAGAAAATGAAAAGCATAGCGTTCTTTTTGTGTCAAATTTTCAGACTTAGATCATCTTAACTGGAAAAATGGTCACCAATCTTTTTCYGAYAKCTTTATTAAAATCAGTCCCATGGTTTGTAAGAYATTCTGCTAACAGAGAGGGTTAACTCCAACAGGTAATGCCAAGGTTTTAACCAGATCCAGCATGTTTAGGTGTGTTGGGGATAACTCTCAGCTTCCACCTCACCAAAATTTAGCTCCATACCTTCAGAGGTGACTGATTTGTAGCCAATTTTTGTGTTTAAGGTTGAATATTAGTTGCAGCCRTCTTGTACTTTTCTGCATCAGTYGACATGGTTAAAGGTTGACTGTTCRTCTTCTGTCCATCTTTACTCCTTACAAGATGAAAACCAGATTGTTTTTCACCTTCTCSCCAGCAACATCTATGCTTTTTCCAAATTTGAAGTTTAAAATGAAATGGTTACTAACAAATGATACGTATTGAATACATCTATTAGATCCAGACTTTTCAGTTATTAGTCCAAGTTATTGTAATAATCTAAACTGACAAATGGGACATTTTGATGTAGAAATGAAAAGAAAAACATAGATCAAAAGAAATATGAAAGGTGCTGCCAGTGGCTCATTAAGGTCCAACGTTTTCAACTCGATTAAACTTTGAATGACCCAAAGATGACTGGGATATCTCTTTCACTTCATTACAAATACTATTGTTAGTAAAATTTGTTTTGCTGTTTTGTCTATATCATACAACAGGGCTTGTTCACCTCTGGCCCATGTGTGACTTCAGTCCAGCCCGCCAATGACTTTATTTAGAAATAGATGAATAATTTTTGTTTATTTTTCAGACTTGAATGACAAATATTTCAAAGTAGCAATCCTGTTTTACAGATAATCTATAGCTATGTTTATCAATGTTTTTATGTGTATTTTGAAGTATCTTATTAGGTGGATGGAAACAACAGAATTAGCAAAAACTTCCTCAATTCCGCAAAAAAAAAAAAAAGCATTCTTACGCTTGCTTGAGGTTTGGATTTTGGATTTTTCAAAAAACGTGTTRATGTGCAAAAGGGGAAGTGGAAGCACATTTACCTCGATCAGCTGTTCCCAYTGACCAATAATTGTAGCGGCTGAAGCTGGACCCTCCTCCCGCTGTCGGCGTCTTCCCAGTTTTTCCTGTAACATGAAGAGAATTACATTTCTTTCTCTACGTCTCCAGACAGCAGTAACATCACCAACACTAGTTGATATGACAAAATAATTACAACTTTCCTGATAGTAGCAACAGGTTCCTGATCACTTCTCTCCATTGTCCTGAGATGTGTCACTGTGAGTTTGTGACTTTACTTCCTGTTTACTACAGACATGTTTAACATAAGTCTGACATGATTACAGTTTGTGTAGCCTGGTTGATTTACTCCAAGCCAGTTGATGGAAACACATCTGGTGCACATTCCTTTATTGCAAAATTTTAAGTTTACTCAAAATTCGCATTAAAATTTGATGGAAACATGGCTAGTGACATGGCTATACATCTCAGTATATCTGCCAGTGACTTTGTTTATTTGAAGATAGATTTTAACCTCTTAACTCCTGTGCCCCCGCAGGGCAGGTGTTGCATTGCAGCTGTTTTTTTCCTACCTTCATTAACCTAGGTTCTCTTAGTTAAKCATAGGCATGTGTGGTATCTATAGAAATGTCAGAATCTTGGCTAAAAACTCATAAAAAACATTTCTATGTTCACTGGACACATCACAAACTAAAAAACAAACCTTGGGACTTGAGGTTAAATCATAAAAAAAATGATGAAGATGAAGTAGACTATATTAGTTTACTTGCTGGATGTCTGGACCCTGAGCTGTTGGCTTTCAGTAAATATGGACCCTGAACAATTTAGTTGATCAGCCCTGCCTGAAATGYAAATTTGAAGTGACTTTTTTAATGTAACTGACTGTTCAGATGTGGTTATGCTAATTCACTGTATTTGTTAAGATAATGATGTGCAAACATTTTGTGACTTGCTTTGTAAACACATTGGCCCAAACCTCAGGCGTAGTTCCCCTTAGGCTCGTAGTTCAGTTCCGTGTGGTGAAGACTCAGCGTACCGCTCAGAACTCTGCTGAACAGCCCCTTCAGGTTTAATGTCTCTGCTTTGACAAAATGAAAGTAAGAAGCAGTTTAGRCACAAGCAGCCAAAGTGAAAGACTGGTTTTAGATGCCTACGACAGCACCCATGGATCAGATACAGCGGGTAAAATAAGTATTGAACATGTCACCATTTTTCTCAGTAAATATATTACTAGAGGTGCTAATG